CATGCTAGGAAATATCACTGACCAAGAAAAGGAAAACAGCAAATATTCCACAACATTAAAAATGTACAGCTCCTATACTCGTGAAACAATAAAATATAATATCTTTTTTTTTTGGAAACTATAAAGTATAATATCTTAAACACTCTTAAGCTTATTAATTAATGTGAAACATTTTTTAAAGTCATGTTGATGGCAACAAAGGCACTAAACAACTGTCATTTTCAACTATCCTAGTAAACTAGATGATTACGCTAATCTAATCCGAGATTTGCATCAACTCCAAAGCAAATGCTAGTTCTTGGAAGTGCTGTTTGGACCCATTATAGTATTACGTATCAAAAGCTTGTCACTTTACTCCAAAAAAAAATTAAAGATGTAAAACCAACTAATTTTTTTAATCTTGTGAAAAAAATGCCAAAAAGGACTACTTAATACCCCCCCCCCCCAAAAATATTCCAATTGTGTCTTAAGGGAGGGGGTCATTCCTGCAAGCAACTAGAAAAGTTATGCATTAATATTTCCAACATTGTTAGCGTAATTTTATACATGAGCAAGTCTAAATTCATTAAACAAAATTTTTATCTAGTTAAAATCTCCAACTTGGTTGCACATGCGGCATACATCTACTTGAGTAAAACGTTTCTTGCACTATTAGCGTAGAAAAAGTTGATCCATAAAAGAGGGATGAAAACGTTTCTTATAGTGTTAGCGTGGCAAAAGTTGATCCATAAAGGAGGGATGAAGGAATTTTGAAAGCTCAAGAATATTAGTAACCATAAGCGTCAATAAGGTCCAATGACTCCCAAAAAGAGTTTATTGCGTTAGGAAACAAAAAGATGATGAAAAGGACTTCAACCTTCAATTAGAGAAAGTAACAAGCAACAACTTCCATCACTATCATGCTTTAATCTTCCTCCCTTGATGCATTGAACATGGTCCTTTGATATTATATAAAAACCAGCAGAATTGTAGAACTTCAAAGGCCTATGTTCAATGTGACAAGTTAGCAAGATTAGAGCAAACCTAGGCGAGACTAAGTCCAATTAACAAACATTCTTGTACATAAAACGCGTTGATTTTGAAACTTGTAACCAAGTGTCTAAATCAGTAGTATAATTTATGGAGAATGATTTGAAAATTCTAAGACAGCTCTTAGCAGTTGCTGTCTCCTCACTTAATTATTAAACATTTGGGTGTTTGACTTGATACGTCTACTGAATTAGTCCTAGATTAAAATGTTAGTTTGAAAAAACAAAATGAGATTCCTAGACTTGTATTAACATTAGGGAAAAATTTACGTCCACTAACTAGGTTCTTTCCAAGAAGAAAAACTATCCAGTAAATGCATATTTTGTCATCGAAATAAATCTTGGTAGGAAAAGTTCAATTGGTCTTTGTGTTGAAGGCAAAATCAAACTTTTATTATCAAACATAATAATGTTGTATGTCTACAAGTGAGATTAATTAATAAATTTTCACTATCCAAAAATAATACAAATGGTCCATTTTCCTACTAAAAGTTGTACTAAGTAGTTTTCTTGAGTTGTTAAAACTCAGCATAATTGTTCCAGTTGCCCTATTCAAATGCTTTCCATTTTTGGAAAAAATAAGAATTTTTTTTTAAAATAATTGGATGGACCTAATCCAAAAGAATCAAACATCCCACATCAGATGGATAATATCTCACTGAAATCAGCCATATCTATTGGCAGATACATTGACTGGGTTTCAGAAGTCAGTCACCAAATCTCTGATGACTAAACCTAAAAGAACCATGGCACATCACCCTAGATTGTGCTCATGCAAGAACCCCACCAAGACATATGTCCACAACTTTAAAGCTATCCACCATTCTTTGCCAAAGTAAAGTGGATCCTGGCTCAGCTATTTGGAATAAGGAATTGGTCTATGCACTCTTAGAGTAGATGAATGTGCTACAAGTGATAAAATTAGGTACATTGCTGATTCAATGTATACCAATATATATATATATATATATATATAAACACAATGTAATACAATATGAATCACTAAATTCACATTACAGAATTTAAAACTGATTTTTTTCCACATTAAAAGGTCTAAGTGGAGGGGAAGGTTACCTGTTCCAGAGTTAAGAGCAGGCCACTAACATATATTTCAATGACATACATATAGAGATTATTACAAATCGCCTGCTAATAGAAGACTGCTGATAAGAAAAATCAGAATAGATCCAAGCTCCTCTTAAACAAAGTTAAAAAATCTTATCACCTGGCCAACCCACATTTGCATTACGTGACAGATTGACTGACAGTTTCATTGACAACATCAACTTTCCCAAACCACCAACAATAAACTAGGTACGACCAAGTAAGAGCAAAACATGTGCAAAAGGTTCTCTCTTTTTTTTTTTTCCTCTTCTTTTCTGTTTTTTGGGTATAACAGTGGTACAAGAACCATTGTACCATTTGGGAGCACAAACAAATTACCATACATCCAGAAGAGGACAAAGGGGCATGAAAAGCTACCATAACTCATGTCTAATGGAGAACCAAAAACCAAAACATATGCAGTTCTGTCACTGAAAAATACAACTACTATATTAGTTCAAACTAAGAAGATCAAGTAAAGAAAGCTAAGAAGAGTCTACAGGCCAAAAGTAGGACATGAGATCAAAGAAAGATCAAACAGCATTATCAGCTACACCATTCTCGCTGTCATTGATGATGCTGGTTGAGGTGGTAGTTGTTGCATTATTGTGGATCTGCTTATACTTTTTGGAAGAACCTTTGCAAAGGTTGACTGGGTACTTGAGGGCATTGAGTTCAAGTTTTCTCAGAACAGCTTTACCCAAATCAACGCCACATATGTCAGACAGCCTGATAAGATATAGTAGAACATCTGATAGCTCTTCACCCAAGTGCTGCTTCTCTTCCCCCTCCCAATCAGGTAATCCTTTAGGGACCTCACCTTTCCACTGAAAAATCTCAGACAACTCTCCCACCTCACCTACCTGAAACATGAGAACAAAAACACATCAAGAAAATGCTAGTACTACCTCAAAAAGTCTGACAGCGCCCCCACCCACCCCTTACTTCCCCCCCCCCCACCCCACAACACACACACACACACACCACCAAAAAAAAAACCACAAAAAAAGGATTATGATAGGTGGGCTATAATGCTAAATTGTCGTTGTACCACGTACTAGTTCATGTTTATAAAAGTTCAAAAATGTGGCGGAGCCAAGGCAGTGATGATACTACAGTGCCATAATGATATTCTGGATAAAACATAAATTGACAGAGGAGTAGGGCTAATTGATCTGATTCCCAATACAGAACCTAAGAAAAAGAACTCCTCTTTTTGCTCCCTGGGGTTCCATTCAATGGAAAGTCATCATCAATGTCCTCAGCTACATCCACAATAGCAAAAAGGATGGCAAAAAAGAAAGAAAGAAACTATAAAAAAAAAATGAGAAAATGGTTTCCAGAAAACAAAAAGATCAAATCTTTCTCCAAAATCTAGATGACTAAAGCCCTTCAGTTGACACAACTATCTGATGTGTAAAGTTAGGACTAAATTACTGAAAATGCTGAAAACCCTTTTCTCAAAACACAAATTGTAGGTGAAAAAAATGCAAAAATTTCTTGATGGAGTATTAATAAAATCCAATGTATTTTGGTTAAGTGTGTGTTTTGTGCGTGTTTCACAAAGTTCAAATACGGCAGACCAAGACTTCAATACCAACCTTTTCTTTAAACACAACACAACAAAAATGTGACATATATCTGCAGGCAAAACCGACAAAAAAACAAGTACAAATACAAACCAGTGCCAAGAGAAGATTTCTGGGGCTATGAAACTGATCCCAATCCCTTTCTTTAGCAAAATCAGCCATCTTTTCCTTCAACTCATCAAGGGTTACACCCATCTCTGCTGTTCTTCTTCTCCTTCTCCTCTCTCTCTAACCTTTCCCCTTCAATTCTATGGCTTTTGCTTTGTGGGTTTTATGGCTTTTTGCCCAAGTCTTTCTGATTTGATGACAACTGCGCCGACCCTTTATGAGGGGATGCACAGAGGATATGTTGGTTGCGTAATGTGATTGTGATGATGTGCGTTATGGGAAAATGCGGGGTTAGTACTGCTGTGTGGGATTGAGGCTTTTAAGGAGCTTTACGTGTGAAAAAGGAAATTGGGTGACAGAGTACCAAGTTGTAGTATAGAATAGTTTGCCAGTTCATCCATTAGCCTATGTATAATAAGTCCATGCCTTTGGGTGTTGACACTTGTCGGTTGAGGCGATTCATGATTTTATCTATACATGGCCTAGTTATTAAACCTGGTTTGGTTCGGAGGTTTAACCGGCCAACTCGATAAACAAATCAACCAATCCAATCTAGTCATTAATTGGATCACATAAGGACGGGATTCAAGAATCGCAAGTTCAACTAGCGAAATTCAGAAAATCATGTGGGTCAATCGGTTATATAGATAATCAAAATATAATATTTTGTTATATTAATAATTGGGTTTGTTTGGATTGTAAGTTATTTGAGATTATTTGAGATATTTTTACTGTAACACTTTTTGTGATGTGATGTATGTGCGATAAAAAGGCAATTGAGAAGATAAAAAGGTGTATTGAAAATTGTAATGATGATGTAAACAAATAAAATTGGGTAAATAATGCTCAATCCAAACAAACCGACACCATTGGTACAATCGAAAAATTTATGGTTGAATCACTAATTAGTTATATCATGACTGGGACTGGTGACGACTCGAGCTGCTCGCGAGCTGCTCGCGAGCAGCTCGAGTCAAAGCTCGGCTCGAGCTCGTGTTGACCGAGCTCGAGCCGAGCTCGAGCAGTTCGTTAAGATAAACGATGCGAGCTCGAGCCTTCGTTTCTTAGGCTCGATAGCTCGACGAGCCGCTCGTTGGGCTCGAGTAAGTGTGAAATTACAAAAATACCCTTGCTTCAATTAAAATTTACATGTTCTCTGCGCACTAAGCTATAATCGATGTTCAGCCACTGTTGGTAAACTTTCCTCCTTCCTTCACTTAGGTTAACTTTTATGCTCTGCTGACTCCTTCGATTGATCTTCTTCCTCCGCCACCGACTGTCCCAAACTCCCAATTTCCACTTCCGTCACTGCCATTGCTGCTACCGCTAGCTGCATCTCGAGTTTCTTCACTTCCTCCCACTTCAGCCACAGTCATCGGTGCTACTGCTAGCTGCATCTCCACCGCTTCCGCCATCTCCACTTCAGCAACCTCCAAGATCTTGTAGTGCTAAGGGCAGGTTGGGAAGAAAGGCAAGTTCCAAGGAAAGGCAGAGGAGCAAAGCTGCGAAAAAACAGAGCAAGGAAGGTTCATCTGAAAAAGTTAATCTTCTCCACTTCAGCAACTTCACCGCGAGAGACCACTGTAAGTTAATCTTCTCCATTATATTTCAGTTTTCATTCGAACATAAGCTTTGAAAGATTTCAGAGCATGTTTGCTGATGAACGTGCCATGTCCGCCGTTAGCATGTTGTTTCAAATTTTACGTCGATTGTTCGTGGCCTTTTCTGTGTGTTGATTAGACTGTATTCTTTTGGTTTTGCTGTAAATTGTGGGGGCTGAATATAGATTTAATTGAGTAGAAGATTAGTGAAATTTGTGATGCCCCTAACCTGTTCGACGAAATGCCTGGCTGAAAATTCTTATTGAAAGAAGATTCGTTTGCATTTTTTCTTTCATGTTAAAGAACCGGCTAAGTCCGCAGGTTCATTTCCTCGCACCTGAGAAATTTTGATGTATTGCAGTCTTGCATTTTTTTGTTGTTGCTTTATGCCTCCCATCGTATGAATTTGGATTGAAATGGCATGGGAAGGATCTTGTGATTTTCATTTTGATTGGAAATGATCAGACTTGAGCTTTTTGATGTTCTGTCCGCAGAGGAGAAAAGACGACCCCATTCCTAGGATCATGATTTTGGTCCTTCATTTTACTTTATTATTATTTTTTTATTTATTTATCCCCCAAAGTTTTTATTTATTTTTATCAAGCTGTCTACAACAAATATTTTGTGTTGTAAATTTGTGATAGCTTGTAATATTTTGAGCTTTGGCTGAAAAATTGGACTAAAAGACCTGTATTTCCTCATATAATTTCATTTTAATGAGTATATTTCTATCTTTTGAAGTTCTTGATGGATTGAAGGAGCTCTTGCATGTTGCCTGCAGGTTGGTTTGTAGATCCATTGCTGGCATTAGTGAAGTTATCATAATTTGTATTAATGGATTTTTGTGGACATTTGGATAATTTGTATTAGTGGATAATTTTTGGATAATTTGTATTAGTGGACATTTGGACATTTATGATTGTATTAGTGCATAATTTGTAGGCCGCAAAATCAAGAATATGTGAAAAATTGTAGTTATTTCATGCGCAAATTTTGTCAAAAAATGGGGAAAAAATGCTGTATTCTTGCTTAAAGTTTCAGAAATTTTCGAGCTATTTTCGAGTTCGAACTCGAGCTCCAAACGAGCTAGAATTCGAGCTGCTTTCGAGCTTCATGCGAGCTAGAAAATCGAGCGAAACTCGAGCTATTCGCGAGCCAGATTTCGAGCTAAGCTCGCGAGTCATAAACGAGTCGATCTCGAGTTTTCCTTTTCTTACGTCGAGCCGAGCTCGAGCTCTATTTTTCGAGCTCGACGAGCTCGAGCTCGAACTCGAGCTCTCATATAAATATGCCTGACTCGACTCGATAAGCTCAAAACTCGACTCGATTCGGCTCGTTTGCACCCCTAATCATGACTTTGCTAAGTTGATGTCTTGACTGGGTCTAATAAATTTGATAAATAGTGCCGGTTTGAATAGTAAAGCCTAATTGTTTTTATGTAAACTTGAGTCGAGTTGATCTGTTAGCTAAGTTGATACCAAAAGTTTGGTTTAAGTACGTATATGAAAACTGAATGAGAGTGTTAGTGTACTAACTTTTGACTCGAGCTCTATTAATATCAAATCGAGTAGAACTATTAACCAATTATTTGCCAACCCTTTTTGAATAGTTTGGTTTGACCACATCCAACAATTTGAGTAAAACTTTTCACTAGGGTTCGAGTTAAAGGATGCTTAATAGGCAAACCAACCCTTTTTGAGTAGTTTGGTTTGACCACATCCAACAATTTGAGTAAAACTTTTCATTAGGGTAGTTAAAGGTTGCTTAATAGGCAAATGTTTAAGAGAGATGTTAGTTAATTTTTTTTATAAAAATAAAGTTAATTTAGAAAAATGTCTAAATACGAAAGAAATATATATGTATATATATTACATATGGCCCGTTATTAGAAAAATCCAATGATAAATGCTTTAACATGTCGTCACTGAGAAGGAAGCAACATAAATATTTCAGAAACCTTCCTTGAGGTTTTAAATAAAATAGATCAATGTTCTTGGAATTTTAATTATTACACTTTGTTAAGTTTCAATATAATGAAGTGAGCCTATATGCATAAAGATTAATGTAAAATACTAGAAAGGATATCTTTTCGAACATACCCTTACATGAACCATTAAAATTTAATATGAACAATTAATTTAAAAAATAGACTTTAACTAAAAAATAGAAGAAATGTTGGTTTTCAAAAAATATAAATCTCTATCTTAATGCTTAAAGACCTAAGCCCTGTTTGGCAAAGTGAGTTTTTGCCAAATTTGTTTCCTACAAGTTTTTTAACAACTTTAACTATAGTAATGATAAATAATTTCTCAAAATTTTTAAACTACACATTTCAAAATACCTAAAACACAAAAAAAAAAAAATTCCCTCCCTCCTTTCTTCTTCCACCTCAACCCACCACCACATCCGTCACCAGCCAAGACCGGTCGGCGCCGTTTCTAGTGCCACCCACCTCTTTTTTTCTTTCGCTCCCCCTTCCCTCCCTTCCTCTCGTCCTCTCTCCCCCGTACCTCTCTCCCCCTCTCTCATTCCCCCTCCACCCTCCCCCTCCTCTTGTTTCTACTGTTTCGACCTCTATCCTGTTTCCCTCCCCTCTCCCTCTTTTTTGTTTCTACTACTATTTGTTCCAATGGAGGGAGAGGGAGAGGGAGAGAGAGGGGGAAGGGAGTAAAATTTTTTTGCTGCTTCGTTTCCTACTCCTACTAAATTATTCTTCCTAAATGAAATCAAAATCCCAACAAGTCAACATTCTTATATGAAAAAAAAAAGTCTTAGTAAATAGATAGACTAGTATCCTAGTAGGAGTAAAAGACTATCCATCTAGTGAAACATCTAATTCATGCAACTTCAATTCACGACTGGAGATCACGTGCCAAATTCGAAACTTCCCAGACGTGTAGAGTTTAGACTTTTACGTGCCCATGCTGAATTGCACAGAAACCCAGTTAAAAATTACATCTTTAATTTCTTTTTGCTCCGGATTCCCACCACCAACACTAATTATCAAATATAACTAGAATCCACGAATTAATGCAATATTTTGCTAAAATCAAAGGAAAAATAATCATAAATTCAATAATAAAAATGCAACCTATCAATTTTCGCCACACCTAAACTGTGCTTGTTCTCAAGCACGAGAACAACAAATCAAATAATTAAGTTCAAATAATGGCTATCTCCCAAATCACCTATTGTCAAGATACAATTAAAACATATGTCAAGTATTAGTGGCTGGTCTCGAGGAAATATCTCTTCGGTTAACTTTTAAAACTAAGGACCCTCCTAATTCTTGACTAACTAATCTAAGGATATAAAATATTCAACCAACATTTGTCAGCAAATAGTTCAACTATTAAGTAAAATCTCAACACTAAAACTCATGGATCAGTAGGCTAACATAATCATTATATACTTCCATAATTTTCACTATTAGCACATTTTTTCTTTTTTCTTTTTAGAATTATTTAGTCCTTAACCATTCAAGCCTTTTTACGCAAATTCCAACATCTACCAAATGAAAGAGGTCAGCTACTCAATTCTCATTGTTTAAAGACCACATACTCATAGTTATCAATACCTTTTAACGCGAAAGTTGACACTTATGGTGAAAATCCCCGATTACTAGGCAACGATAACTAACAGAATATAGCCAAACATAATTCACAAATAAGTACCAAAATAAAATTAAAGACCACACAAGTCTGCTTCATTTTTCAAACATGAAGAACTAAGATTAATACTTGAACCAATTCATACGAAAAATGCCATAAAATATTTACAATAACTAGAAAAGTTAATCAAAAATTGTAAAAGTCACAAAATCTCAAACATTTGTTAGAGAGACACCCTTAAATCTTATCACTTCATACTTAACACATTAGCATATAAAACCTTAACAATAGTCACATTTGAGATTCTAGCTACTAATTATCAGGAATAACTACAAAAATGCTCAAAAATTGACAAAAATAGATGAAATTTTAAAATTTTAAACAGAAATGCCAAAAAATGTCATAATGATTACATTTGCACTTTACCAATATACTACCCCCAACTCCTAAATCTTATATTGTTCCTAATATAAGAAATAAAGAACAAAATAATAGAAAGAGGAACAACGAAACTTTTCTGAACATAGAGGAGAGGAGGGCATCATATTGCTAAATATCAAGAGCAAAAAGTGAGATGAAACCAATAGAATAAAAATAGCCACCAAATTCTTTAGTTATTTTAGATGTGAGCTAAAACATAAGGAGTTTTCTGATAAAAAATTTCTAACTCGTCAATTTCAATGTGACTCATAGACATGGGCACATCTTGTTGACCAGTAGTCTTCTAAAATTTCTAAACATGACATGAAAACTTGTCAATTAGTTGGGTATGGGCGTGCCTTATCTGGTAGTAGTCTTCTGTCCACTAAAACAACAAAATCAAAATTAAACAGGCAAAACACAAGAAACCCAAAATAAAAGTAATCAAAATAAACTAAAAACGAATTGAGTTATTTCCCAATAAGTGTCTTTCTTTAATATTTTTGACTAGACATTGCCATATTTGTTCAAGAAGGATAAAATCTTATAACTCGTTTCAATACTTCATTCTCTATGTAATCTTGATAACTTTCGTAAGTAGAGTGATCCATAAGAACACGAGTTACTTTCTTCCATTAACTAGTAGATAGAACTAAACAAGTAAGCAGTGACTTAATTTTTCACTTACTCCTCCATCACGAGCAATTATCAATTCAAAATATTTGGCCATCGCAACTTCTAACTTATTCCTGCTATGAAACTCAAAAATTTCTGATATAACAAAGTCAACCTCATTTACAGAAATTATAGAATAAGAGTTAAGAGAATGTCGGCTAAGGAATAGAGGGGGTGTCACCACATTTGAAAATTGTTCACTAAAGCGATTTGACGTTGGAGTTTCATTTCTTCCTTTTGAACTTCCTTTTCAACTGTATCTTTATATCATTTTTCTTGAAACTCTTGCAGTTCCTTAACACTTGTCGGGGTAATTGCATTTTCATCTTTTTTAAGGTCGATAATGGTCTGTGAGGGTGATTTTTCACAAATTTGAGAAGTCAATTGCATCACTGTAGATGCCAATAGACACATTTAATCCGCTATGTTTCTAATTTTCATTTATGTCTCCTGCTGAAATTGATATATATTAGTAGCTAGTAATTCAAATAATTTATTTAAGAGACATACTTGGCAAGGATGATAATTGTTACTGTTGATATTGATGTTGAAAACCTATTGGCCTTGTTGCATAATTAAAGTTGGAGTTGTTCCACCATCCTTAATCATATATGTTTGAATAAGGGTCATCTCATATTTGAGATATGGTTGAAAAATCTTCAAAAGTATTGATTGGGGTTTTCAAGTTATTTTGAAATGCAGGGCACACATCAATTAAGTGATCCGAGGTATAACACATTTCACAAGTTGTAACAGCCAATTTTTCTACAAGAGAGATTAGTGTATCTAAATGTTGATCATTAGAAGAGACACGAGCCTCATTAATCCTCATAGGAATAAAATTCTGGCTATTACCAAAATATTGAATATTGGTAGCCATAAATTAGTAAAAAAAAGAGAAAAATAAAAAAGAAATTGAAGAAAATAAGATGAACTCAAAATGAAAACAAATTAATCAGATACCAGTCCCCGACAACGACGTCAAATATTGACAGGAATTGAGTATATGCAATAATAAATATCTATCCAAAAATTTATAGATATTGACCCTGTGTAATAATAAATACATACTCAAGAAAAATATAAATTTTATATATAGCGATGAGTAGGGTTAAATTCACAAAGATTGAAAAAAAATTCGTTTCTTCCAAAGTCCAGGGTAAGGGGAATTTTTATAAAAAAATTGAGAATAATTAAATAATTCAAATAAAAAGAACTAAATGACAATTTATTAAATTGAAACAATAATAAATAAGTTTTAGCCAAGAAATAATTTCAGAGATGGTTCAC